TAGTTCTTTCTCTTTTTACAAAACATAATAAAGGAATGTGTGTGTGCATGCGCGCGCACACCTTTCAAGATAGTGCTTTCACCCTGAGATGATTTGGGGAGTTATATTCTTGGAACAATAAGCAAAGAAAGTCAAAGAAGAAAATGCAAAGTCACAGTTGCTCCTAACTATAAAGAAAACAAAAACAATGATCACAGAGGATTTACATAAATTCAACCTAGATAACGAGGATATCAGAATAGTTCCATCCCTTCACTCAAACATTGATGAGAACGGAGACTGCAGTCAGTAAATCAGAAGAAGATTAAGAATGGGAAGGACAGCTATAAAAGAACTAGATAAAATCCAAAAGTGTAAAGATACGCAGCTAAACTCTAAAGTAAGAATTGTCCAAGCCATCGTATTCCCTATTGCTATGTATGGATGTGAGAGCTGGACAGTTAAGAAAGTGGATAGGAAGAAAATCAATTCATTTGAGATAATGTGGTGCTGGAGAAGAGTGCTGAGGATCCCATGGACAGCCAAAAGGACAAACAAATGGGAACTTGAACAGATCAAGCCTGAACTCTCCCTGGAAGCCAAGATGACAAAACTGAGTCTGTCGTTCTTCAGACACATCATGAGAAGTCAGGATGTAGAAAGACAATGATGCTGAAAGAGGTAGAAGGCAGTCAAAAGAGAGGAAGATCGCATGCCAGATGGACGGACTCAATGAGGGAAGTCACAAGCCTGAACCTGAAGGACCAGAGCAGAGAAGCTGAGAATAAGAAAACACGGAGATGTCTTTTTCACAGGGTCGCCATGAGTCATAGCCGACTAGAAGGCAGCTAACAGCAACAAACAAAAAGGTAAAAAAAGTAACTTCTCCAAGCTCTAGTTCAGTAAAAAAACAACAATAAAAAGGCACTCAGCAGATCACAAAACATAGTAGCAGATCATAGCTATGCGTTGCACTGGTCTAATATTTTAATAGGTAGACATAAATATAAAGTTAGATTTTTATTTATGATTTTCTATGTCTTGTTGTGTCTGTACTCAGTCTGTAAATGTTATTTGGAAAGCAAGATTATGGTGTTATTTCCCCATGCATTTTCTGTTGCAAAACAAAAGAAAACATTTGCCTTTTTTGAGCGTATGTACATATGAAAAGAGTCTCTCTCTCTCACACACAAACACACACACTTGTCTGTGTTCATGTCAACAGAGCTGGCAGAAAAGTTGCTACTCTGCCTTGCATCTTTTCACCTCATCTGTTCCCATTTGCAAGAGACAGACTCTGTTTTCTTGAATCCATCCATCTGAAATTATCACTTTTATTTTTGACTTTTGGAGAAATGCCAATTTGGAATTGCTGTTTACCCAAGCTCTTAAGAGTTTTCATTCTTTAGTATTGAGTTTATTTCCTAGATGTTGTAAGAACAATTGGAAGACTTAGGTGGGGTGCAGACAGGCGGCTCTAGGGAAGCGGCGGATCGGGGCTGCAGCAACCACACGCCATAGCCAGTCCCTATTGGTTCTCCTGGATCTTTCAGTGGCGTTTGATACCATCAACCATGGTGTCCTTCTGGGTCATCTGGTTCCAGTCTTTCTTGGCTAAATGTTCCCAGAGGGTGGTGCTGGGGACTGTCGTTCAGCCTTTTGGCCATTAGCCTGTGGGATTCTACAGGGGTCAGTACTGCATCCGCACTGCAGAAATAACCCAATCTGACACCACT